TTTCACTTGGGCACGGGCCCGCTCCTGTCTCTTATACACATCTAGATGTGTATAAGAGACAGGGACAAGGGTGCGCGAGGACAGTGCCCTGCCCCCAGGTGAACGCGCGGTGGAGGTTGCGCTGCCGAGCAAGCAGCGGAGGAGGTGTCGAGCGGAGGGCGGGACTGCAAATCAGACCCCGCAAGCTAATCGAGCACAGCGCGGTAAATTGCCAATTTGCACTGCGCAGTGCGTGCGCATCCGATCGAGCCCCGCCGCTTGAGCGCTTGCGCTGACTTGCGCTGGCTTTGGAGTCTATGGGAACCGGGACGAGTGCGCGCAGCGCGCAACATCCGATCGTGCCCACGCTGGCAAATTATGACACGTCAGCTTGATCTGACTGGGACCCATTCACCCCTAAGGTCATCTACTAATGACTACTTCGACCGAAACTTCGCAGAACTGTCCCCGCTGCTGATGGCACCAAGGTGGACACGCACACGGACACGGAGGATGGCCATACCCACAGCACATGCGCAATTCCGACGGCTGCAATTGGGAAAAAGTGAGGGGCGAAGACGAGGTAGCAAGGGGCACCCGCGCAAGAGGGGACCACCCCCACCCAACTGATCAAACAACCCACCACCAACCTACTGCCCGTCCACCGGCAGCACGCGCGCGCGCGCGTGCGCACATCAACAACACACACACGAACACGCGGAGAGGATCGCCGATGACCAACACGCCCAACGAGACATGGACGCTCGGCCTCGCACTCAGAAACGCCTCCCCTCTCCCCGTCTCCTCTCCTCCTCGATCCCCCCCCCGCCTGCCCCTCCAGGCGTGGCAGGGTTCGGCGGGACCGACTTGCTTAATCGAGAAAGTCCACCGGCTGTCCCAAAACGGCAAAGAGCGCGACAGAAGAGCTGCGCACGAAAGACGGGGGTATGATGGCAAGGGGGGGGGCGGGGGCGAGAGCGGGCGGAAGGTAAGAATCGGAGGCCGGCGGGCACTGGTGGCGCGGCACAGCGCGCCACTACTATCGGAGTCGCGGGTTCGAGCGCCGTCCGCTTAACTTCCACAAGCACCAACGCAGTGACGCAGTGCCGCCCCGCCACTCAGGGCGCTGCATTAGCTCAACCCGCGGCCAGGCCCTTCGCGGAGCGCAGGTCGCACCGCGCAGGCCGGCGGGCCAGCCATGAGCAGCTCGGGCCGGGCGGTAATCTGCGGCGGAGGGGCGCCGGCAAAACGGCGCCGCTGGGGCCGGCGGAGCCCAGTCCCCTGTCCGTCAGACCCCGCCGCGCGGGGCGGGGAAACGTCGCACGCGCACCTCTCCGCGCAAGTGGTATTGCAGAGACTGCCACGAATTGTTTTTTGTTCTTTTTTTTTTTAAATTGTATTTGTTTCTCTCGTTTATTCCTCGCAACCCCTCGCTGTTGGTCGGTTATTCGCGCGGTTACATTACCAAAAAAAAACAAAAAAAAAAAAAAGGAAAAAAACAGTTCGCGCGGTTGACGTTGTGTTTTCTTAATTAAGAAAGCATGTAGAGACAAGACAGATTGTATTCCTCCATTGGAAAGCAAAATCTACTATCTTCGGCACTAGCCAGAGCTCTGTTTTTGTTTTCTTTTTTTTTTTTTGTTTCTTACCTGTGACGCTCCACTGGAGAACATGGTAGATGTACATATAACGGTCGCATTGTCGACCAGATACATTCGGGTTGATTAATGAACATTTTGAACGAATTCGTGTCCGACCGCGTGTCTAGATACATGAATTTATGTTTTATGTTTGTGAGGGTGTTTTCTTTTTTTCCGGCGGAGTGCAGTATCTCTAATGTATCTGACCGCATTCACGCCCATCTCTTGATGTATTGGGACACTCTTCCGTCCAAAAAAAAGGCATGGCAGGCCTCTCTCCGCACCACTCACCAAAAACAAAAAACAAAAAAAAAAACAAAAAAAAAAGACAGAGGCGGCGGTGGCGCTTGGCCAAGCGGCCTAGCGCTATTGCCCGAAGCTGCCAGCGCTAGGGGCTTGGGCGTTGCCCGAAGCTGAGGTCGCCATGCCCAGCTGTCCCTGGCGGCCCACGGCGGCTGCTTTCGTTCGCGTGCGGGAGCAGAGCTTGGCCAGCATGGCGGGTGGGGAGTCTGCCGTAGCTATATTGGGAGTGGGTGCTGGGCGTCGCTGTGCTGCATGGTTTTCTTTGCCGCCTGCAATACTCTATATGGAGCTATGACCAGGGCACCGACGGTGCATCTGGCCGGAGATTCGAAGACCATACATGGAGCGTGCGTTGTGAGATTTGTCTGCTTCAACTCCTTCGGCATCTTGGACTTCACTACTATGTCGCGATTTGCCAGCGCTTCAGGATAAGTAGTTTTGCATGGTTACCTGCTTTCTATTTAGTGGGAGTGGGCAGTTAGGGCGAGCTTGTTCCCTACTTTGAAAGAGAGTGGGCCTGGCCTATGCGGGCTTGTTCCCTATTTTGTTTTGCAAGAGAGTGGGCCTGTGTGCTATTTTCCTGAGCGTTTATCTCTGCTCGTTCACATCGAGTGGTGAGTGTTGGTAGTTGTGGCAAGAGAGTCGGAGTTGTTCGGCGAAAAAGTGCAAACGGAGCTAATTACGTGTGAGATGCTGGCCCGATGTCTTTGTGGGTGATACGGTACTGGGTTTGGGTTTCTTGATTGTTCACGATTGGTCTTTGAGATTGAGTTGTTCTTTGAGTTTTAGGATCGGCTTGTCGGTGGTAGGGTAGGTCTGGGTTTCTTGGTTGTCCACGTTTAGTTTTCGACATCGAGTTGTTTTTTGGGCTTTAGGGTTGGTTTGTTCTTTTCAGTCGGTAGGTTTTTGTTTTCCCGTGGTTTTCACGTGTTTTTTGGGACGAAGGTTTTGGGAACGCTTTCGATAGTTAGACGCTTTGGTGATATGAACTCTGATGTTTCTCTTCTGTTTTTTTAGTCTTTATAAGTATCTAAGTAGTATCAGGAATTCGATTGTTGAGTAGCATTTTTGTTTTGTGGTTTTCTACAGGTTTTCCTTCGTTTTAGGTTTTAGCTGTGGGGATTGGTGGTTGTGTTCGCCATGGTTTTTTCGTGATATGATTTTTGGTGTTTTTGTGCCATTTCTTCGAGTTTTCATGTCATTTAGGTAGTATTAGTTTCAGTTTGTTGAGAAGTGTTTTTGTTTTCTGGTTTTCTACAGAGGGATGGCTCCAGATGGGGAGTGCACCCGAGGCCGGTTGCCCTCTGGTATTTTCGCCTTATTCTCTGCTAAGTTGATGTAAACCTTGGGCACGGAGCTGGGTAGTAGGAAATGATGAACATTTTATGGTGAAGACCATGAGAGATCAGATAGAGAAGAGAAGAGTCGAATGGAGCAAGCTAAGAAGCTGGCCAAGGAAAAGAAGGAGGCAGATAGGGAATGGAAAATTGAGATGCGACTAGCTAAGCAGAAGGAATCCCTGCAGGGGGAGTTTGAAAAAATGTTTGAGAAGAGGCTGAAGAATGCGATCGTGTCAAGCAAGGCCTTGAAAGGCAAAGCCAGTGCAGACACGAGCTCTGATGATGATGAGGCTGTTGAGGAAAGGCTGGAAAAACGGAAGCGGCAACCGACTACGACCTGCCAAGTCAACTCGCCTGGCGAATCCCCACTGAAAGTGGGGAGGGCCTCGACATCTATGCCTAGAGCGAAAGCGGACGAAAGATCCCCACGACAAGGAGGGCCACAACGGAGAACAAGGACTGATGGAGTACAGTTGGGATTCCCCCACCAAGACTCCTCCCTGTGGGAAGGCGCCCCTACGGCTGAGGATTTCAATACTACGACGGCTTTTCGAAAAGCGATCCGTAAGTTTCTTGGAAAGAAGCTGAAACCCACGATTGAAGAAATGTGTCGCGAGGCTGGGGTTGCTTATCGGGGACGTCGTGAGGCTGTCGATGAACTAATCGAGCTGCGAGTTATGTATTTCGGCACGGTGACACCGCCACGACCAGCTACAACGCCCGGATCGAGACCGCGGGCGGCTGGAATTGTGATCCGTGAAGTGCAGCTGCGGGATGACTCAAGGGAAACGAATCCCTCCACTAGTGAAGACAACCCAGGAATTGATAACCCATAAGACGAATGAGCTATGGCTCGAGATGGGTACCTACTTAGATTTACGGAAGGAATTGCATCTATTGCACGACGCACATGTCAGATGGCTACGGATTATTCTGGAGAATGTCCTTAGATATTTAGTATTACTATTAGTATTGCACAGCCAAATGCAGTGGGGTGCGAAGTATGTTGGGAATTGGATCCACCTGGTAAGCTCGAATCTCTCCACCTGGGAAGATCCTAAGGAGTGTGTCTACGTGCTGATTAGTCTTGGATCGAGGGCTACTTATATTGGACAGACTGGACGAGGCTTGTTCACCCGATGGGAAGAACACGTATATAGAACCAATCATAAGGACAATAATCGTAATGCAAAGCTATATAGCCGACTTAGGCACTCTGATGTTTTGAGGTACGTTATTGTTCCTATTGCGTTCATTCCTGCCTTGGACCTTGAGCGAGGGAACGAGTTTTTATCCACAAGTGGTCTCTGTCTCTTAATTCGAAAGGAAGAAACAAGAGGAAAAGAAGAAGGAACAAGAAGGGGAGGAAAGAGAGAAAGAGAGGGAGGAAGCACGATATCAGTAAGGAGTTACCGATCATTTTTTAGACAGAGAACCTGAGAATCGTTAGATTGACTGAGGTTTGTTCTACAGCATGGAAAGGTGGGAAGCGTTTCAAATCTGAAGGGGGCAAAGTATGGGGACAGAAGTGGGGGGTTATCACGAAGGAGATGAGAGCAACGATCGTCCGAGCGGGTCCTGTTAGTAAACCGTTAACTGAGCTAAAGAACGAGCTCGAAAAGGGCGGAGTCCTTGAGATTACTGATCTGAAGGAAAGGGTTTTGTCGAAAGAGAAAGCAAAACTTAAACGTGAGCTTCACCAACTGCTTCGGAATAA